GCGGTTCCACTCCTAGTCCCCACGAGGAGGACAGGAGCAGTGCCACACAGCTCTCCTGCTGCTGAAACACCTCTTCAGCTGCCAGAGCTGGAAACCAGATGGCAATCCATGCCCAGCCACCCCCCGAGCAAGCAGCTGGCTCTTCCTCTGGAGTCCATGGAATTACCCAGCCAAGGTCTGCAAAGGAGCCCTGCAACAGCAGAGCTACCTCGGGAGTGGAACAAGAAGCTGTGACCATGGTGACTATCATGTCCGGCTCCTGGGAGTGCCCTGCTAACACTGACACCAGTCTGCTCACCATTTCACGGTAAAGCCAGTAACACATCTACCTTTAACAACCTTCTAAGACCCTGAGAAGTAGCTACTTTGCAGGAGTGGTGGAATCAACAGGCAGTGCCTGTTTGACCCCACCAGTGCAGGCACTTGCCCTCAGCAGGCAGCTAACGACGGGTAATGGGTCACCCAACCCCAAATCCTCACACCAAGAATCACAAACACAACAACCAAGCCGTAAGTAGGACTCCGGCTGCTGACATGTAGCGCTTGGATGAGCCTTGGAGACTCTTTTATTTTCACAGCCACAGTGATATGTGCATGTAACAGCCACAGGCTCTGAAACATCCGCTCAGGTCTAAGCGGCCATCACCACCAATCCTCCCCAGCCAGCCGCTGAGAGGAGACACACCTGAGCAGAAAGTGAACCGCTGCCGAGGAGCTACAAACCCTCTTTGGTCCCACTAGCTCACGGGGCTCCCACTTGCCTTTTCTGTCAACAGAGAGTAGACAAATTGAGCAGCAAGAGCAAGGAGGTGAAACAAGGTCCTCCAAGAGGAGGGAGGGCAGGAAGCGGAGGGCGGAGGAGCAGGCAGGAGGTGTAGTGCATTCATACCACCACCGTCACCACAGCCCCTGCGAGAGGCTGGTGGGTTACAGCTGCTTTGGTGGGCAGCGGGGAAGGCAGCGCTGTGCTGCACAATCGCCCGTCAGGCACGGGGGGAGGGACAAGGATCTCCCAGATTCAGCTACGGTATAAAAACCTCCTGACAGCACCTGTAGGAGGATTATGAGCTTTGCAGCACTTGTTCCATTCCAGTCAGAGAACGTGCAGGCTCTGTTAGTCAAGGTAAAAAGCATTACATCATGGCAGAGGATCATTTCTATAGATTAGGAGGTATAAATAAAGCCCAAATCTGACCAGGGCAAGTGTAGGCACAGAACTCCAGGCAGATGCACCGTCTGACTGACATCTCTGAAAGCCAGTATTGCCCAGTAGCCTGGTGTCTGTGTAGCTTACAGCAAGAAGAGGTTCTGCTTTAGGTTAAGGCACTCCAGGAGTCTCTGCCCAGGGTGGCAGAGCAGCGTGAATAGTCCTAGAGTCAATGTAAACCAAGCACCCCAACACAGCTGTTTGCTATCTTCAGTCTCTGGTAAGTGCTCACAGCAACAATACCCTGCGCTAGCACAAAACGTGCTGCAGTAACAGGGTGATGGGCCTGCCCCTTCCTCAGGGCAAGGCAGGCTGGAGGCCCCATAGCCTTAGCACAGAGCCTCCTGCCTCCTACGGAATAAACTGCTTTGAGACTTTACTTATTGGAGTTGAACTAACTTTCAGCATGGGCTGACACGTTGCCTCAGTGCCATCAGTTCAAAGCAGGTTCACTCCATGCTTCAGCAGCTTTTGCTTGGCCTTGCTCGGCAAGCTGAATGCACTGTCGTGAGGGTTGGGAACACCCGAGTTGCGGAGTGGAGCACCCAGCTGCTGGAAGTAGGTTTCCTGGACAGGGTTCCGGCAGGCATACACAGCCGTGGAGGCATTCCTAGCAGGGCAGGAGAGAAGGCAGCGGTCAGGATTTACAGCTTTGTGCAAGATTCCCTTCAACTCACCGGGCTGGGCACTGCAATGTTTGTAGCACTGGACTCTCAGCTACTGAGAAGGACTTTTAGGTCTCTCTCAGCAGAGCAAAGGAGCCCAGAGCTAAAATGGGCACCAAAACCCTGTAACGCATTACCAGAAGGCCACAGGGAACCAGAGCCTCCTTCTCAAGGATCCTGGCATCCTAAAAGAGAAAGCACCATATGCCTCATCCTCTGGGACCTACTCAGCAGCATCAACACCCATGCGCGTGGCCATCCTCTGAGTATTTCCCTTGCTGGCACACCAGCCCAGTACCTCAAGAGCAGGTAGTTAAATACTCTGCGTGTCTAGCACCCCTTCCTTCTTAGAGGAACCTATCTCACTGCTGCTGTCCATAAGCAAATCCCAGCACAGCACCCTTGCAGCAGGAACCATTCAAGGTTGTTTAGTCACACGTGTGATGAAGTTCAGACAATAGCCAGATATTGTAACCATGAAAGCTGAAATCATTGATTAAAACCCACCATTCAGTATTTACCTGCAAGAGGGCTGGCAGGGAGCAAAGCAAAGGACTCTGCATTCCTCCTTGATGGAGGAAAGCAGCAACTGATATATGTTTGCTGATACCCTTCTGACACAACTCTCCATAAAAGAAAGCAGTTTTAGTCATCTTGTTACTCAGTCTGATTCACACATGGAGTTGCTTTTTTTGGGACAACACAGAATACGCCAGCTTAGCTGGTATAGGATTTAAGGAGCCAGTCAAACTAATGCTAAACAAGGAGTTCTCCAGCACTGAAGTGTATGATTCACATTCCCTTGGCAAGCTGTGTCAGAGAAGTGAAACAGTGTAATTCCCAGAAGCATCTTTATTTCATCATGTTTTGGGCAAACAAGCACAGCCAGGCAAGCAGAATCTCTCCGCACCCACAACATAACCGTCCTCCCCGAGACCAGCTACAGGAACGGGGGGAGTGCTGTAGCACGAGATCAGCTTTAGCCACGGCTGCGTGGAAGGGCTCTGGCTGCGATAAGACCATCTTGCTTGGTGCATTACAATTGAGTTTGCCACGCACATTACAGTGTGTTTCCAACCCAACAAGCCGTGCAAGAAAACAAAATCTAGGCTGCCAATTCTGGGTGCCTTTGGCTCCCAGCCGAGACACAAATTTATTAGGAACAGCTATATTTAAAACTGTGTCTTAGAACCTTATGGTGCCAGGAACTGGCAATATTCTAGCATTGTATCTTAATCCAAACCCATGGCACAACTCAGCCGTGCCTTCAGTTCACTCGCCTTGGTGCCATTCTAGCCTCTCAACAACCCAGATCACGCTACAGGCAGAATATTAAGTAGCCCACATCTAAAGAGCAAACTCCAGGGAGTAAGGCCCCCAGGGTCAGTCGTGGCACAAGAGACACCGCTGTGATTACAAGGCGTGCCAAACCTCAGCAAGCCTTAGAAAAGGGGTTCCCCCCTTCTGCCTATTCTGTGTGCCACACAGCACTCCTGTGCCTGGAAGAGGAGGGAGTTACAAGCACACCTTACCGAATTATCATTTCTGAAGCGGTCGGAAGCTGGCTGAAGTCGGAGTGGATCAGCGCAGCAGCTCTCAGGAAGTGCCGATCCAGAGGGCCAGGTGTATGGGGCAGGTTGGCTGCAGAACAGGAGTAAGGGGTGTGGGTTAAAAGCCCACTCTGCAGAGGAGCGTGCCCCCATTTACCGAGCAGGAGAAGGCTGTGGACCTCTCCCACAGACCCTGGATATCTGCAGAACAGAGACTGAGTGACATCCTAAGCCCCGGCGTGACCTCAGTGAAATTGGTCAACAGCTCGCCCCGTGCTCAGCCACGCACAAACAAAAAGCCTGGTGTACCTTTCCCCGTGTGTACACACACATCAGAGAGGTGACAAGAAGGCCTGAGATGCTTTCCCTAAAGCACTGCTTCTAAACTGGGGAGAGGTGGGACACTGCCTGTGAGGCTGCCAGGAAAAGGGAAACATGAGAATGAACAGGAGCAATACGTGCACGGGGCTTTCTGCATGTCCATGGCTGACCCACCCATCCACGGCAGCAGTCTCCAAACTGCTGGTACTACCTGTTCCCGGTTCCTGCTTCTCATAGCCAGGAACAACTGACAAACACTGTTGCACAGTGGGACAGAAGGCATCGCACCAGGGACGAAGGGAGTCGGGGGATCGGTGGGCGGGTTTGAAAAGGATGCCGAGTCCTGCCCTCAGACCTAGCCCTTAGCAGAACCCCGAGCAACATCCTTCCGAGCGAAGCACCCGTGGCAGCTGCTCCACCTCCCAGCGGCCTCTGGCTCTCATCCAAAGTGATCAACAAGCCTTCAGCAGATTATAAACTCACAAAAGACAAAGCTTCCTCAATAGGGCCTTATATACAGGCTATTTGGTAAGAGTTAGAGCAAGCAATGTTTCTGAAAAGTTGTCTGAAGCATGAGAAAAGGTTATCGTAAACCCTGTTCTCCTCCTTATTCCCTCCTCGGAGGCAGCTGCTGTTCCAGAAGACGAAGGCTTACCCGTGAGCACGTTCTGAACGCAATCATAGTGAGTGAAGCTGTAGGTTGTCTTGGCTGAGGAAGAGAAGTCTTTGGGCAGAGTTTCCCTCAGATGAACCTCCAGGCCGTTTAGAGAAGCCAGACTGCTGTGGTACTGCAGACAGGGCAAAAAAAGGCAAGTGTTAGAGTAGATGCCCAGCTTTGCTTAGACTTCCAAGGAGGTACCAGAGGGAGCTTGGGTGACTAAGGTCGATGACAAAGGGACTGGGCCCCTCCATGCTCTGCTGCCCAGACTCCCACCCAGGGACGGCTGGGAAACTTGGGCACAGAGGAAAGCAGGCGAGTCTCACAGCTTACAAGTCAGTGAGACGGGGACTCAGAAAAGGGCACTCCAACCTGAAAATAAGCCATTAAGCCACCTGATGCTATTAATTACAGAAAAATGCAAGACTCCATTAATGTACCATCAAACATTACTCTCCAGGGCTCATTTTTACACCCTGGCCATGACTTTTAGCCACAGCAAGGAATATTCCTTTGCTTACCAGCCCTCATTATACCAAACAAACAGTACAACGTAGAATGCAGCTTTACATGCTTGGGCAGGATTCAATTGCCTGCAGTGTTTCCCGCAGCACCCCCTCAATGCACAGGAAAATCTTCTAATGGGCAGCGAGCCTCCATGCTGAGCTTTGGCCAGCTGCAGACTGCAGGCACTGGGCTACCACCAGAAGGAAAAAAAACCAAACAACAAAAGCCAAGGAAACAGCCTCACCTGTGGGGCAACGACAGGCCTGGCATAGAGCAATGGATTTGCACAACAACGTACTAATATGAAAGCCAAGCTGCTTTCCCGACTGGACTTTCAGCAGCCAGCCGCCCTAGCTGCGTGGAGGCTCCCAGGCAGCAGGCAGGGCTCAGGCAGGGCTGAGGGGCCCTCCGGCAGCTCTGGGAAGATTAACCCCATAATCCTCCAGCCTGCCCGTGCGCTTTCCTCCGCCACAGAGAGGATCAAGCCTG